TATGTCATTTAATCATAGCAGTCATTCCTCTAATAGAAACTGACAGGACATAAAAGACAGAACTATCAGATGAACACACACAATGACTAGAAATATATCGACAGAGAAAAGACTTAATTTAGCTTTGAGAAACCGTCCCAAAATTAAAATCCTGTATTAACAAGTGCAAAAAACAAAACAAAACAAAAGAAAAAAAAAGAAAAAGAAACTCCAAACATTAAAACACAGTGTATAAAATGGTGTGAGAAAGTTAAGTCACCAAACAGCCTTTTAGTCAATAAAAAGCTGTGTTTATATGTCCTTGTTGTTTGGGTAGAGGCCCATTCTTTTCATTTTACCCAAAAGGTCATTCAAGAAGAGATCTGAGGGTAAAGCACTCAGTCCTTGCTATTTTTGACTGTAGCAATTTGGGCCTGTTGTGTTTCTATCATGTAAGATGATTCCTTTCTTTTATTCCTCATTGGTTGAGTTATCTTCCAAAGTTGTTATGCCTCCAAAGCCCAGTCCTGTTGAGTTCTGTGCTGCTGAGACTGTAAGTACTGTATGTAAGAGAATTAACACAAGAACACACAGTTTAAGTCTGCTGCTACACAGTCTTGATGCTGATGAAACTGTGAGCGATGTCCTGTGACACATTGTTGAGCCACTTGTTTTTATAGTCCCTTTGGGTTGATGATCTGATAATAGTCCCCATCTGACATCACAGCATTCTGGTTCTGCATTGGTTGGATAGTTTTCATAGAGCCCTGTAAGGTAAACAAAAAAGAAAAATAAATACCAGGCACAAGGACTGGCAGCAGTAGTAGATTGAAGAAACAGTTGGCAGTTTAGTCTAAGCTGTCAAATCCATGTCTTTGAGTGAGACTGAGGCTCTCAGAAGTCCTTCCGTTCTGGATAATTAGAGATGTTGAAGGAATGCATCACCTAACAGGAATCAGCATCAAAAGGTCATTCAGCAGAACTATGACACAGCATGATTGTGTAAAGAAGCAACATTAAAACGCAATTATTGTCATTTGAATTATAAGGGTGCTTGAATTCTTCCTTTTTGGCAGGTAACAACCAATGATGAAGTAGGAACTAATCAATCAGGATGTTTCCTCAAAGCGTGGACCTTGAAACTCTTCCTTCACTATGTGAACAAATAAACACGGGCATTAAATAACARATAATGATGCACTGATAATATTAACTGATTGATTTTCAAACTGATGTAAATGAAACTGCGTCACAGGAACAACTCCAAACAGAGCTGTTCTGAGTCTAYTTGTTTTCCATATTTCACCTGTGTTCTCTCAGCTGGATATTGTCTTCAACGTATCCCTAAGGTGAAAGCAATCTTTTCATACCATACAAAAATTGGATCTCCTGATAGTTCTGACTGTACATCTAGTAATTTTTGCCTTTGAACTTTATGGAGGTACTCAAACTGATCTGATTATGACTTTTTGACCACTAAGAGGAACTCAATCTTTTTGGAAATTGTCAGAGCTGTCTGCATTACTACATAGGAGATTAACATAACCAGTGTTCTGTTTGTTTCTCACATACTTTTCCTCTGATAAATTAAAATAACCTAATTTGGTTATTTGGTGTTTAAATACAAGGATGTCTGACAAAATAGACAAACTCATTTTTTGCCATTTAAACTAATCTTGGATTAAATTCTACAGTAAATAATATACTCTGTAGTAGAACTAGATTTTGCTAAGAAAAATCTATCTGTACTGAAATATTAAGACACTGATTTTGAAAGTAGCTTTACTTCTTGGAACAAGAATTATTGGAACAACAACAATATTACTTTCGAAAAGCAATTTAGGTATAACATTCTTAGGTCCAGGCACCAAATTGCTTGCATTTTGTGAATAACCTGTAAAAAACCAGTACGCCTAAAAATGTTGTAAAAATAAATACTTTGGTTCCTACTTCCATAATACTGATCTACAACTAAACAAAAAATGTGTTAGGGATGCTGAGAATGTCAATGTGCCTAGATTGTCACATTTTTACACAGCTGACACAATAGTCAGCTTTGATACACGAGTCCAAACAAAGTTGCATTTATTTTTTGTTTCAACCAAATTTTTAAAGACACAGGAATGAACGCAACTTGTTTCRTGTTCTGTAAATTCAGAGTTCATTCTATGGCAAACCTGGCCATGTTTTCACTTCTGCAGTCAGAAATGCAATGCAGCATTCCAAAGGTTGAAAATTATTGATTCTCTATCAGATCATGTCTGACAGTATCGCATTTTTCTCTAAAAATTCTATTGCCCTTCAGAAATTCTGGACAATTGTTTATTGCAGAAATTGTRTTCTTGCTGACATCACATTTTCTGAGACCCCTCTTTCGGTGTTTGTGTGCATAAGTCTGTTTTTAAACATTGCAACATACAGGCAATTCTTCCCAAAGCAGGGAATTATTATTTGTTCTGTGAACTACAGTAGCTCAAACGATTAGTAGTAATTGAAGAGACACAGAGAATGGTTAATGCTTTGATCCCACTGAGGCTTGTTTACTATTCAAACTATGTTTTCTGCCTTTCTTGTTTGTGGAAAACCCAGACCTCCTTTGAAATCTAAGCTATGTATACAAGTTGGCAATCAAAAGGTATTTAAATAGCTCATATGCACTTACTGAATTATAAATAAATTGACTACAACTCCACATTCAAAGATGAATTAAACTTGTTCTTTAATGTAAAATTACATTTCCTCTTTATTTCAATTCAGCAATTGAATTTAGGTTTTGAATTTGCAGTTACATATATAATGAAAAATTAACTAAAGAACGCCTATTCATATGAAGTACAGAAGATTTAGATAATTCCAGTCAGATCTTTCTTACTGAGCACATGTTCCTCACCACATACTGATTCATAGCCATAAATGTAAGTTTTTGCCCCTTGGATCTAATTAGTCTGTCTATTCAGTCAGAGGGTTACAAACATGTTACAACTAGACATCCAGAGAAGCTGGCTATATCTCCTTGGGAAACCAAGGAAGAAAAACTAGTTTGTTTTCTGATCAAAATATTCATGGAATCATAGAATGGCTTGGGTTGGAAGGGACATTAAATATCACTTATTTCCAATCTCCCTGCTGTGTGCAGGGACACCTTTCTCTAGACCAGGTTGCTTGAAGCATCATACAACTTGGTCTTGAACACTTCCAGRGATGGTGARTCTGCAGCTTCTCTGGGTAACCTGTTTCAGYTCTTCACCACCCTCACAGTAAAGATTTTCCTCATATTTAAGACTAAACTTTCAATTTGAAACCATTCCCCCTTTTCCTATCATCAYAAAGTATTGTAAAAAAGTGTCTCTCCATCTTTTTTTTCCTTCAAGTTCTAGAAAGCCACAATTAGGACACCCAAAGCCTTTTCCTTTTTCCAGCTGAAAAATCCCAATTCTCTTAGTCTTTCCTCATAGGAAAAGTTCCATTCCTCTGATCATCTTGGTGTCCCTCCTCTGGACTTGCTCCAACAGGTCGATTTCCTTCCTGTGTTGAGGATGAGCTCAGAGCTGGATGCAGCRTTCCAGGTGGGGTCTCATCARAGCAAAGTAGAGGGTCAGTGTCACCTCTTTGCCCTGCTGGCCATGCCGCTTCTGACGCAGCCCAAGACACGTTTGACTTTCTGGCCTGCAAGCGCACACTGCTGGGTCATGTCCAGCCTCTCATCCAGCAGCACCYCCAAATCCTTCTTTGAAAGGCTGCTCTTGATCTGTTCATCCCCCAGCCTGTGTTGATAACAGGGCCAACCCAAGCTGCACCTTGTATTTGATCTTGTTAATCCACACGAGACTCCCATGGGCCCACTTCTGGAGCTTGTCCAGGTCCCTTTGGATGGCACCCCATCCTTCAGTTGTGTCAAGCACTCCACTCATCTCGGTGTCATCTGCAATTTTACTAACGGCGCACTCAATCTCTTCATTAACAAAGATACAMAATAATACCTCATTGTAGAAGAGCACTAGGTTGGCCAGGCAAGACTTGCCCTTGGTGAAACCACGTTAACTGTCTCAAATCACCTTCCTGTTCTCCAYGTGCCTYAGCATAGCTTCTAGAAGGATCTGTTCCATGATCTTCCCAGCTACAGAGGAGAGCCTGACAGGTTTGCAGTACCAGCATTCTCCTTGTCCTATCAATTATTACCKTTTTTAAAGGCAGGTTCAATGTTGCCATTTTCCAGTCAACTGGGACTTGACTTGATTGCCATGGCTTTTCAATTATCATGGAGAGGGGCTTGGCAACTACATCAAACACTTCCCTGGGGTGTCTGGGTTGTAACTCATTGAGTCCCATAGACTTATGTACATTCAGTTTCCTCAGGTGACCATGAACTTGATCTTACAATGGRAGGGACTTTGGTCCCTCAGTCCACATCCTCTTGTCCATCCAGTTGAGAGATGGGGKAAGAGAGATTGCCATTGAAGATTGAGGCAAAAGAATGTTTGAGTATCTCAGCCTCCTCCTCATCCATTGTTATCAGTTTTCCAACATTGTTTATGAGGGTGATACATTATTTTTAATCTTCCTCTCCTTATTAACAAACCTACAGAAGCCCTTTTTTTTATTCTTTGCATCCCTTGCTGAGTTCAGTTTCAGCTTCCTCTTGGCCTTCCTTGCTCCATCGCTACATAACCCGATTTCATCTCTATGCTTTGCCAAGGTTATCTGTCCTTGTTTCCACTGTCTGCATTTGCTTATTTCCCTTTTTTTCTGACATTTGTTTTGTTTAAATATTATATATATGGGTACAAAGTTTGGGATAAGAAATAATAAAAAGGATACCTATACCCACCAAATCACCAAGGCTTCCCTCTTCCTCTTTTATCTTTATAGTTAATTTTGTAGACATTACTTTCTATTACTTGGATGTTTGGAAACTATTTTTCTGAGGCTGACCTGTCAGCTGTTACTGGCTCAAAATATACTTTGCTTTTCACTTTTSACTTAAAATTCTCAGTTCTGTGTCTTCATTTCCCAGCTTTTCCCAGCACTCAGCCATATTTCACCAGCAGAAAGCTTAGTCCATGTGGAGGTTCTTGGACCTTTATTATGATCAAGTATCTAGAATTTGCCAGGAGGTTTTTAGTTTCTAACCATTCTCCACACAGACGCACTCTCACTCACAAAGGTCATGTAAGAGCACTCTCTTTTCTTTGCAACCAGATGGATTTTTTTTTCACATGCAGATGACATTTTGATGATCAGCCCAGAATTTACATCTGTGGGGACTGTGTGTTACTAATGCTGATGCAAGAATTAAGGCTACTGGTCCCACTGAGATTGTTAATGGAAATATGAATAGATAAATCCTGCATGTCCTGCTCAGCTGAATCAGACTGAAAGAAAAAAAAAGAGTGACAGCATTAATATCATATTCACTTTGTGAAGAAACAGCTTTGGGGAAAAAGCAGCAAACCCCAAGCAAGTTCTTACACAAGAATTGAAATCACAGTCTATGCTAATCAGCTGGACCATCATCTAACTCAGAGACTGCTGTGGTTTCTATCTGAGCAGTTGCAGGATCCAGACTGCAAAAGCAGTGGTTGCATTTCTGTGACTCTCCTCAGCATTTTCAGGGTGTTTGACATTTGTGGATAGATTGGAATCTGCAGTAGGTGGTCTGACTTCGCTTCTTRGTTTCTTTGCTCCAGAAAGAGTTATGGAGCCATAGTATTTGGCGTCATGGGAACTGGTCTGGTTGATATAGRTATTGTTGCTGGATAAATATTTT